GCTCCTTTGCACTTCAGCATCTGAAATCTCCAGAGACTATGCAATAGGTGTGTCTCAATGTACTGCTCCTAATGCTCTGCAGGGTTTTCATGTTCTGTTTGTTGTGATCCTACAGTCTTAACTTGCTGCTGAAAGATCACAGTTCTACCACTATCACTTGTACTGTTAGCTGAAGAGCAGAGGTCTGTGTTAAGGGTTTAAAGACTCCATCTAACTAAAGGATTCCTATATGCATGTAGATAGGATGCTGCGTGAGGAAGATCCTTTCAGTGTAGGAACATTACAAGCTGTATTAAAAGGACATGACTGCCACATTCAAAGGCCTTATTTATTGCATGTTCAAATACTGTTCTGGAGACAGATTTCTTACTTCCCCTTGACCATTTCTGTGATGCTTGTTAGTGCAGCATCTGAATGCATAGTAAGCGTTAATTTATTCATATCACAGTAATGTGAGGAAGTGTTATAAATTCACATGGAGAGGCAAGGCAAGACTAAGGATTAACGTGTCCAATAATCTTGATCCTACATGTGTCAGCATTTTGGGGCAGTTTCCTTATGCAGAAAGAACATCTCTGCTCTTCCATTTTCAAAATTGAATGCTTTGTCTCTGTAAATTCAAAGTTTCTAGGTATGAAGATGGGGAACTGGAACTTGAGGGGTCTACATGGTTTGACTGAAGAGACTTAGTGTTATGTGTGAATTCTGTAGGAGACCAGATTTATCATCCAGACCTATAGAGCTGTATTCAGCTGTCTTACTGAGAGACCACCTTTACTCACTGTACGTGCATCTCTCTGCTTTTCTGCAGCAAACAAGTCCCCTGCTAACTCTGTATGCTTCCCAGCCTGTCTGTTCTGTGGTGTCATGCAGGGCAGTTAGTGCAGCATCTGAATGCACATCTTCTGCTGATATGGCAGTGCTTAAAATGTATGACACACCATTTTTGGGAGGACGGTGACCCAGACAAAATCTGTAACAGACTGCCATGGCAACTTTTACAAGTTGGTGTGACATTATCTGTTATCAGAATAGTTACATTCGCAGTCTAGCATGGATGAAAGAAGACTGTAGAGATGCTTGCATAGTCTGATCTCCCAGAAAGTCAAAAGTCTGCTTTGGTGAGCATGAACTAAAAAGTTCAACTGTTGAACATAATTCTAAAGTTTGGCTTTTGTTTGAGAGCCGTTTTCCTCTTGAGGGATACTCAGAAGACTAAATTGCTCTCTAGGTCAGATGGCTCCATCAGTATTCCATCTGGTGAAGTGAAACTTCTTGGAGTTCATGTAGAATACACTTTTCTTGCACACTCTTTTCATACCAGTGCCACCAGACAGTAATGTGACAGGATCATAGAATCACAGAATGGTTTGGATTGGAAGGGACCTTAAAGATCACCTAGTTCCAACCCCCCGCCATGGGCACAACCTGGCCTTGAACACTCCCAGGGATGGGGCATCCACAACTTTTCTGGGCAAGCTGTTCCAGTGCCTCACCGCCCTCACAGTGAAGAATTTCTTCTTTATATCTAATCTAAGTCTACCCTCTTTCAGTTTAAAGCCATTACCCCTTGTCCTATCGCTACATCCCCTTGTAAAAAGTCCCTCTCCAGCTTTCTGGTGGGCCCCCTTCAGGTACTGGAAGGCTGCTAGAAGGTCTCCCCAGAGCCTTCCCTTCTCCAGGCTGAACAACCCCAACTCTCCCAGCCTTTCCTCATGGGAGAGTTGTTCCAGCCCTCTGATCATCTTTGTGGCCCTCCTCTGGACTCGCTCCAACAGGTCCATGTCCTTCTTATGTTGGGGGCCCCAGAGCTGGAGGCAGTACTCCAGGTGGGGGTCTCGCGGAGTAGAAGGGGGAGAATCACCTCCCTCAACCTGCTGG